CTTTCTGCCCCTGTCACTGGACTTGGATTTCCAGGATTTTTTTTCAGTTCCTGCCATCACTTGGCTCTTGTTAAGCCCACCATAGTCCTCATGCAAGACTCCAGAATGGGAGAGCCCCCCAGCCACTTCCTGCTTCCTGCAAGGTTCTTCTCAAAGTGAATAACATGAAAAGAAGAAGAGGCTCAGCAAAGTAAAGCACGAGGAGGGGAAGGGATAGAATTAGGTTATTGAAATGACCATTTCTGACTCTTCAGTTGCCTACTTTCATTCTAATGAGTAGCGATGGAAACATGCTATTGTGATCATCTTTGGTTGGGGAACAGAATGCTGGCCCAGGTTGGTGTGCATGGTGGTGAAGAAGACATGGTTGTGAATGGGAGTTTTTTTCTCAGGCCATTCTATGCGCTGACCCAGCAGAAAGGGCTGTAAGCAGGTGTTACTAAATCACTGATGGAAATGGCCAAGAAGAATGGGTTGCATTGGGTTGGGCTGAGTTGTGCTCTCCTTGTTGCCACTCGTGGCACTGTACCCAAGCAGAGTTCTATTCCCCTCTCTTTCTATGGCTTTGTATATCCCAGAGTTTTTAGCTCGTGATATACAAATACATCAATATAGCACATAACATATATCACCGCTCTCTCCTATTTACTAATTCTGCGCTAACTGATATAAACCATGACTTTCACTAGTGCATCATCTTACCCTGGTTCTCTGTTGCCTGCTCTGCTTCAGCTCCACTGGTGCACGTCACCAATTTGCAGGAATATGCTTCCTCTGCACAAGGGTTGTGACCAGTAGCTATCTCAGTGATTAAAGGCCAAGTAGGGCTGGTTGTAGGAGATTCAGTTTCTCTTGACAAATGGCAAATGTTCATCCCTAGCACACAGGAGCTGTACCACAAATAACAGCAGAGCATTTTGCTGCCTTCTTTCATCTTACAGAGGAGGGGAAGGCCAGGCGTGTTATTTATATTTACACCGTTTGTCTTGTTTTACTTTCTTATCCCCACTGACTCATTATATGACTGTACTTGATTTAATTATTTTATTTCAGTAGCAAGATTAGGCCTCTCAGACTTGCTTCTGTTCCCTGGCTAGAGGCTTCAACAGCAACATGCTTGATCTTTGTGCATAATGCACATAAGACCTTTACTTGGTTGGGAATTTCTCAGACCTGCTGATCCTTGCTGTTCAGTTGTGTTGTGATTCTCTAGACAGATGTGATTATATAACATAGGTGTGGATCTACTATATTTACAACTGTACCTCAAATGTGTACAGTTTGGAGGATACAGCATAGTTTAACTGGAGACATACTCCAACTTGTTTCAGCCAATTCAATTCAAGTTGGTTTAGTTAAGCCACCACAATTTGTGAGTGGATTGCCTTGTATAAATTTAATGCTAGCTAACGTAGCATACTTTCACCTGTAAATTTACAGGCAGAAGATGGGCATCACATCAACCACCAAACTTAAACCACATGTCCATATTGTTCATTTTACATCAGCGTAAGTAGCATTTGTAAATATATAAATACAAGTTAAAATGCTATAACCAGTTTTAAACCTGCATACAGTAATCCATATAAAACTGTGCTGTGTTAAGAAATAAACAAATATGCATGAATCAACCGATGCATCTCAAGCAAAACTAAGGAAGTTATTCTCCACTCTACTCGCCATTGGTGAGGCCATAGCTGGAGTACTGCATACAGTTCTGCGTGCCGCACCTCAAGAAGGATGTGGAGAAGCTTGAGAGAGTCTAGAGAAGAGCCACTTGTACGATTAGAGGCCTGAAGAGCAAGTCATACAAGGAAAGGCTGACAGATATGGGACTGTTCAGCCTAGAAAAGAGAAAACTTTAGGGGGATTTAGTGGCAGCTTACAAATATATCAAAGGTGAGCATCATGGGCTAGGCAAACAACTATGCACCAAAGTGCCCCAGGGGAAAACCAGTAGCAATGATCAAACTCCTAGAAAAAGGTTTCAGACTGCATACAAGGAAAAACTTCACAGTTCGTGTGACCAGACTTTGGAATAGACTCCCAGAAGGGGCGGTGCAGGCACCTACCCTGAAGATCTTCAAAAGGAGACTGTATGCATACCTTGCTGGGGTTATTTGACCCCAGCAGTCTTTCTTGGCCAGAACAGGGGGGCTGGACCCCGTGATCTCACGAGGTCCCTTCCAGCCCTATACTCCTGTGAATCTGGAAACAATCTCTAATTAAATTGGTACAACTTTGTATGTGGATGAGACCTTTGCTAATCTGGAAGGAAAGTCCCACTTGAGTGACAAGTAACTGAACAGAGGACAGTAATGAAACAGATTTGAGTACAGTATGCAACAGATCAATGACAACAAGCATCAAGTAATGCTTCTTTGAAATACGTCCACAGCCTACAACCAAGTTTCTGAGTTTTCTCCAAGCTTGAAAGTATTTGGAACTGGGCCTCTAAAATGGACACAAATTAAGAAAATAATATAAGATAATGTCCTCACTATAGTCCTGACTTTCCTTGTTCAGTCCAGCTCTACTCAATATACATTTGTGTGCGAGTGGCAGATAATAAAAACAACATAAATATGCCATCAGTTGGAAACTTTAGAAATGACAATAAAATGTGGACCTTACCTGTATGGAGCTACCTTTAAAAGCTACAAAGAAATATAACAATGTTCCCAGCAAAACAATCCATGTAGTCTGATGCCTTGTCAAAGCTAATGCTTGAGAGGAAAATGCAAAGTCTACATAACAAGCTTATTCTTAATCCTACAGACATGTAGGTACATGAATAACTTCAGAGAAGAGCAAAAATCAGAGTATTTAGACTATTTGAAAATTAGAGGCAAAACAACACCAGACCACTTGCTCAACCTGCAGCCCTTTACTGAGGCAAAACTCCCATTAAAGTCTCTTAGTTTACTGGTAAAGACTGTTAGTTTTAGATTTGCATGCAAATCTGCAACAATTTTCCTCTTCCACTATAATGACAAATCTGAACAAGATACAACGTGTCAAAAGATTAAAAGTAATTACATTGCCTGTATTAACTTCTTGGGGTTGTCAGGGGAAGGGGGGAGAAATGTAAAATATATTTTGAACAGATACTCAATTGTAAAACAGCCTTTTAGAAATTCAGGGTCATCTAAGTAAAGGATTTTTTAAAACTTTCCTTACAAAACTTAAATTTGTATCACTAATAAAATATCAAAATAAATAAGGTATACATTAATCTTGAAAAAGTATTTTAATTATAATAATGAGCTACAGAAAAATGTATTTGACATAAAAAGAAAAATTCTAAAGAGCAAAGTCTGAACTGAGGGCCACCCCCCATTGTCAATATTCTGTCCCAAATTAAACTTTTAAAGTACCTGTGAGGTTTCAAATAAAAGTTTGGTTTAACCTTTAGTAAAAGACCACTTCTAGTTAGCTATCAATTTTTACTGATCCCTGAGTAATTACAGAAATAAGTGTTCCCTGTCATGGTAGAACAGCATTGTGTGGCCTGTCTTCAAAGAATGAGAGGCTATTTTTTGACTCTGGACCATTAGCTTAATTCAAAGCCTAATGGAGTCAATAGGAACCTTTCCATTTACTTCAAAGAACTTTGGATCAGGTCCCATTTCAGTCTCTGCACTCTGCTTCTTTTAAACAAAAACATGACATTATTGAATATGCACCTTGTTTTGGCCACTAACTTGTTGTTAAATCACTAAGCAGCAATGAAAAAGCTTTGTGGATATTTTGTATTTTAAAGCATGACCCCAACATTCTAATTTACTCAGCATTCTTACTAATAACTGTATTGACAATGCAGATCACCAAGAAGGCTTTTACTCTGAAGATGTTACAATCCTGTGGAAGGCACAGATATAACAGTTAGGGCCTTTTGGGAGATAGAACTTCTCCGATATAAAAATAGTGTTTCCCCCAAAAATTAGTTTACTGGAAAATATTATATATAAATTCTGTAGCAAGTATTGTGTTCTATTACAAAACCTAAGAAGTCGGCGGATACATTTCCTGTGAGGGAGTAGTTAGGTACATATTCATGAGTTACACGCATGTTGCAATATTTGATTTCCCCACGGTTCACACACACTTGTGGTTTAACTAGTTACGTCTTTCAGAAGCAGCATTTCTATTCCTCCTTATGTATTTCACTGCACTAGAGATAAGTAAAATAGTGTATCTACTCTGCAGGGAAAGAGCTAGTTAGCTGTTGTCTCTTATTACTTGTTACTGTTTGAGTCACCAGTTATAAAGCTATAACATGTATAGAGAGTTATTAACAAACTATAGATTCATTCAGTGATGAATCCCAGAATCCTAAATCAGCACCCAGGCAGCTGCGCTGGTCACTCATCCCCAGTTATAGCACTGCTGAACTGGACTGATATTTCTCAAAAAACAGTTAGAGGTATCAGGCAATATCCCATCCCATTGGTAGCAATGAGGATGAATTTCTCAAAGCAGCCAGAGCACAACCCACTGGCCCACCTCCAGAGTCTTTCTCCAAAGCACAGAAGAGCAAGTGGTCGTTCTCATCAATGCTTCTTCTCTAGTAGTAAGTGCCCTTCAAAAATGCTCCTTTCAACTCAGCTTTGTTTTTACGTGTGGCCACAATCTCCAGCCCTAAGAAACAGTACAAATATAACAGCAAATCATACCCTCTAGAGACCTTGATTCCTTGCAACTAAACCCAAGTTCCAAAGTCTGTGAGGTACTATGCACTGCTCAGAAAATGACTGCTTAGCCACTTGGTAAATACTTAAGACACTTTCTGAAGGGCACCAAAGTTTCCATATTTAGCAAAGTGCAAGTTTTGAGCACTTAGGGCTGCCCCTGGAGTGGTGGGATGCTCAGCATATCTGCAGATCAGACCCTCTGATTTCTCATGCTAAGTACTCACAGTTTAGGTAGTCAAAACCAATAGCTGCTGCTCAAAAAAAAGTTTGGCCTAATATTTTACAACTAAGAGAATAATACTTTACGTAATTGTAACTTGACACCAGTTTAAGAGGGAAGGATTTAGACCTTGGGTGGAAAGAATTAAGAGCTGCTAACGTAAGGGAATCTGCAAATCAGAAAAAAAAAGCTCAGGCCCTATTAAACATCCTTATTTAAAGGTAATGGAGAAACACACACCTGAGAAAACAGCTGAAAAATTTTTACCACATCCATGAAGAAATTCAGCCACAGACACCATGATGGACTAGAATGCAGTAGGACTGGCAAAGAAACAGAGGGGAGGCATCTTGTCTCCTCTGTTAAAAGGCTGAATAGCCTGTGGTTCATGTTAGGGAGTCTCATGTATAACTGATGTCCAGACCAAGTTCCTGTGGGCTTTGTAGCTGTGGGCAATTACCAGTGTATACTGAAGAACAAGCTTTGCTTCAGCTTTTCCAACTGCTGAGAGAGATTCTGCTTTAGTGGTATTTGCCACAGAGGTCTTAACAGCTGCCCTATATTTCCTTTATAGGACCACAATAAATCTGCCCCCTATGAACCTGTTAAGTGCATTAAAAATTGAAGTTCTAATTCTTCTGTATTACAAATGCATGTATTAACAGTGATCTGATGATCTACAAGTGACACACACTTGCTGTAGAATAAACAGTTATTGAATATAGGGGAAATCCTGGAACTTGTGCATTCTACAGCTGAGAGACTATGCTTCAGAGCATCTGGGGAAAGAAATTCTTCCCAGGCCACACAACCACCACTACTGTGTCCTCAAGGCTGACTTAGCTCCTCTGACTGATAAGAGCCACATTCGGGTTCTTTAAATCTGTAAAAGCATCCAGGCAGGACAGAATCTAGGCTAACGGGTGGGTGAGAGTGAGAGAATGGGCTTTATTTTTTCTTTACTGTACCTGGTTTGGCACTAGAATCAAATCCTTCAGTATTATCACATAACAGTTGGCATGAGAGAAAGCCACTGGATCCAGGGGTTAGCTCACTGGCTCTGCTTCCCTGCCACAGCTGAATTCTGGCATAAAGGGAGCACCTGTGAAGCTGTGCTGCCCAGAGGGTGCATGTCCTCAGGTGGGCTAGCACACACCACAGGAAAAAGGAAGAGTATCTTCCATGCCATTTATGCCTACAAATTAGGATTGCCTTAATGCAAAAAACACACATATCCTGTTACACTGACAAGAATTAGCTGACAGAAATAATGAACCTTCTACCTTGTCATACCTGTAGGAAGATTTTTATTTGTTAAAAAAGAAAAAAAAGGAGATACCATATGGAAGAGAATAATATATTACTCTCCTAGATTGGTTTTACACTAGAGGCAGTTGTAGAACTGGAAACTGATTTGATAAAAGCAACACTAACAGGTTTCTTTCATCAAAAATAATAATAATAGTCTTCACTCAGTCCTGCCATTAAGAAACAGCACTACCTCCGTGTCAGCAGCCAGTGACTCTCCTCCGTTTTTGGTTTCCTTCCCTGCACCTTAGGATATTTCCACACGTTTCAAAGACAAATTGTGAGTAGGCATAATTAGTGAGAAGAGCCAGTATTGTCTGAGGTAACAGCCCCCAAAATGTGTCCTCCTGGTGCTCCCCAGTGTGGCTGGTGGGATAAAGCAAGGGGGCTCCCGGCGCCACCGCTGTCCTTCCTGCGGCCTCCACACATCTTGCCTCCCCTCCCTGCCCCTGAATATCTTAGTCCAAATCCCTTCGGGTCGGGATCCACTGCGACTCGACTCCTGCCCTCCCCAGCGAAGCTGCCCCCACTGGAAGCTGTTCCTTTCTCCAGGCCTGGCGCCTCCTCAGCGCACGCGCCGCTCTGTGCACGACCCCCTCCCTCCTGCCCCTGAGCTCCAGGCACACGCGTGCTCCTGGGCCCCTTGCTAAGCCCTGGGTGGCTTCTTCGGCGGCTCCTCCCCCGGCCCACCCCGGCGCCTCCACACGCGCGCTCGTCTGTCCGCTCTGCAGTCCCCGCCCGGGGTCAGGTGGCTCCTAAATCCGGCTCTGCCGCCAGCTCCTCCCCACCTGTTTGCTGTCCCCAGCGGAGCCGCCAGGACGGACCGCGCCACCCCGTCTCCTCTTAGGCCGGGGGCATCGCCCCCACCGCCGCATCCCTCCTGCGCCCGGCGGCCACCTCCGCCCCAGCCCCCAGTCGCTCGTCCACGCGGCGCACGTGTGCGGGCCCGGCCGCACACACCGGGGCGGCGGGCAGGGACGTCCCGGCACGGGGCTGCAGCGGGCTCCGTGTTGCCGGGTCCGGGAATGAGGAATTCGGGGCAGGGGCCACGCGCAGCCCCGGCCGAGAAGCGGGGACACGCACGGTGGTGCGGGCGGCTCAACGTGCCCGACCAACGCCCCGCGGGCGGCAGCGCCGGTTCGAAGCCAGCCCGGGGGCATCGCAGC